TATCCTGACCCTGAGGTAATGTGGTACAAGGATGATCAGCCTGTCAAGGAGTCCCGTCACTTCCAAATAGATTATGATGAGGAAGGGAACTGTTCTTTGACTATTTCTGAAGTATGTGGGGACGATGATGCCAAATACACCTGCAAAGCTGTTAACAGCCTTGGGGAAGCCACGTGCACCGCAGAGCTCCTTGTGGAAACAATGGGAAAAGAAGGAGAAGGAGAAGAAGAAGATGAGGAGGAGGAAGAATGAAACAAGGCTAAAAAAAAAAGAAAAAATATATTTAAAGACTCTCCTTATAAGGCTCAGAAAACCAAGTTATCAAAAGCACCTTGTGTGATACGTAGGTCTTTGGGGGAATGTTCTTTCAGCATGATCAGTTGATACCTGTTTGCTTTATCTGTGGGCATTAATTCAAATCAGCAGGCACTTTTAAGTTGCCAGCATGATTGGATTGACTTTAAGCAAATCATCAACTAAGTTGCCCAGTCTGTTTTTAAAATCAAATGTATGGAAAACAAGACTACATTTATATTCTGAACATCTTAAAGAAAAATAGTCTATTTACTGAGCTCATTGCTCCACATCATCACTTTCCTCAGCCAAAACTCCAGCTAAGTTGGCTCCCCAAGATATACTTTACAAGGAATCATTGGCCAGAGATGCAGTGAATCTCTCCAGTCCTAAGGAATAGGCTGCTCCCTGAGCTGTGTCTTCTATAAGGGAAGGTTTGACACAGACAGCATTGCAATTTGTATGTTGGCATGGTTCATTTTTCATTTGCTTTAAGCAGAATCTCACAGTCCTCCTAACTTCAAACACATTTGCTGCCCTTTGTCAGTGTGCTGTTAGTGCTGTTGTAATACTGGCAAACATTAAACATCCAGGTGGTTTCCCAAGATACTCCTAATCTTGCTTTTAGCCAACTGATCACACTTTGTCATCTTTCCCTTATGGAGTCTGTCACTTCCATGCAGTTACAGCTGCCTGTTTAAGAAACAGACTGAAAACATAAAAGACTGAGAATATTTTCTGTGTTTCTGGTCAGTCTAATAATGATTCATATATATGCTGCTGTGAAAAAAACAGGTTATTGCACAATCAGTGACTTCTCTGTGCATGTGTGTGAATGGAATCACAAGTTAGTTAAAGTTTTACTTGCATATATTTAGAAATTGCAAAACAGATTTCAACTGATGATAAGCTGGAAACTCCCACAGATTTTTGGAGTAGCCGAAAAGATAGTAGCCTGGATTACAAACTCCTCTATACTTAGCAGTTTCCAAAGAATCTTAACCTATATAGGACCTATTTCTACCTTATGAGCTTGACTGTCTTGTTTTTGTCTTGAACCTGCACCAGTAAGGCTGTTGCGTTTTTTAAAGGCGCAAAAAAACAAAACCAAAAAAAAAAATCCAACTCCCTTTTTTTTTTTCTCAGAAATTGTTAATGCACTCAGACTTAGTAACTTTGCTTTCCTTTCACAGTATTGGCACTTTTTAATTTTTTTTTTTTTGTTGTTCAGAGGTAATATCAGAGGCTGCAAGGTGATATGCACAATCCAAAACCAGTGTGTCTTATATCTATGTATCATTCCAAAAGTGATTATTTTTCTTTTCCACTTTTTGTGTGTAAAGCGCAACCATTTGCATTTCAAAGGTTACCTCTTTTAAAAAAAAACATTACCTTAAATCCTCACCATTAAGTAGTCAGTGTACTTTAATACAGGTGTGTACATTATCAACCTTAGGTTGTTTGATATTACCTAGTTGTGTATGTGTTTCATATGATTTGCTCTTCTACATTCAAAGCTCAGTTAATGTGGATGACACGATGGTTTTTAACTGCTTTACTCTTTGTTGCTAAGTTCAGATTGCCAGCATGTCTTTTCCTTTTCGATTGATGAAAACCTCGTTATACTAAACACAGTATTGCCACAATTCCTTATACAGAAAGGTTGTGAATCTGATTTAGAGCATACAGAGCTTTCCTCACGTTTGTTTTTTTTTAAATGTTTTAGGCAACAATGGGGTGTATTTTGTACCTTAATAAAAATATGCTAATGATCTCTCTATTTGTTAAACCATCAGAATTGCAAAGATGAGACCGCTACGGCTGTAGTTACTCACGGTTCCTAAATAAATACTACCACAAAGCACGCCTCGTATACTCTGTTACAGGCGCTACCGCGCTCTCCTTGGCTACGCGTCTCCTCCTGCTCTGCCCTGAGAGCTGCTGGGCACACAAATGGATGAGGTGGTAACAGTGAAGCCTCCCTGACTTCTGTATTGCTGCTGCACTTCTCCTGCCCTGTCAGTGCAGGCTGGTGCTGTGCAGAGGCTGCTCTGCCCCCCAGGTACAGCCTGGGGCTGGCACTCGTAGCCATGTGCTCTGCACATCTCATCGCATCCCTCATCACACACAGAATGATCAGCAGTGGGAATGTGGATGGGGCACCATGACAACTGTGGGTTTGTTTTACAGCTGAGAATTCCCTTAAGGTGGGGAAACGTAGATCTGAAGGAGTATAAGAGCAAGAGAGAAAAAAATGAGAGAAGTCTCACTGTACATGTGGACTTACACCAATGTTCCTAAAAGCTGTAAAGATGAAGGCAAATCTGCTTGTGCTGCTTTTATGCAGACTTTTTCTCGTGTGCAGTCCTAGACACTACGGACCCTGCAGGACCACACAGAAACTCCCTAAAGCAAAGATTGTGAAACACCCTGCTTGTACCAATATGTTTCTGAGCAAATCTTCAGCCCGTCAGTCATCTTTACAAGATGCACGTCAGTCTTGTGAATGTACCTGACTTTATACAGTGACTGCTGATTTCTGTCCAGGTAGGCACATGCATAAAAAGGTCTGGCTCTGATGGGCTGCTCTGTGGGTACAGCAAGGTCTGTGGGTACATGTACTGGGTATCAAAACCCACAGACTCAGTATTGGTGTTCCTGCACAGATTTTCCTCTCCCTCTCATACTTTACTAGTCCTTTTGGGTTCCACAACCTATAAATTGCATGTTTTTCTTTTGCTCCAAGGATATCCCAAGGAGCTTACCATCTCCTTGTTCCTTCCTATTAACATCCATTCTAGTCTGCAGGAAATAATGACTTCTACTTCAAAAATTATATGATATGTGTCTACTTCAGATCTGAGCAACTGATTCCAACCTGTATTTGACCTCAAATTTTTTTGTTTTGTTTGAACAACAGAATTCTATTTCCACTAAAGAAAGATATTTTATATACTTGAAACCCCGTCTCATTTTTCCAGCCATCCTAATTGGCCTAATAAAAGGCATAACCTCTTTCTATAAATCTTGTCTTTCTTGTATGTTTGCAGAAAGCCACTCTCGGGGGCTCATAGAGTTGAAATTATCCCCAGTATCAGAGGTATGCAAGACACTGGTACTGCCCAAGATGGACCATTTAATTCTATTTCTTTTGTATAACATTCAGTCTTCTCAAGTAACATGGACAATTTCAGACTGGCTTCTGTTTTTCAGTACTCGTGTTTCTGGATTTGCAGAAACTTAATTTACTGAATGACTGGCCTGTCCAACCACCTTTGCTACTTGCATGTGTGGCATGCAGACTGCTGGATTGCTGCTTCCCTTTATTCACAAGGAAGACAGCACCAAACTTCACAGCCCTCTCCTCTGCAGTGACTGTCAGGCTTTGAAAAGATTGCTTTTTTTTTTTTAGTTGCACACATGAATAATTAATGATTTGCTACTCTAAAATTTATTTATTGAAACATTGCACTAAAACACTGGTGTTTGAAAATGGAATTCTCATCAATCATCTTTGCACTTTGAGCCCTACTGCCTGCAAGAGACGTAATGCCATGACTTTATTAGGCCACATAAATACACATGTATTGCTGGGATGGGAAGTGAGGCTTATGCTATTATTCTGCACTGCTCATAAAGGGACTGCACCATGACATGCATGGGAAATAAACTGAGAATTGTTTATGGAAGTCAAGAAGTAACCCCAGAGAGTGTTTACAATTTCTGTAAGGGAAAAAAAATAAAAATTCTTCCATTATAGCTCTCCAGAAAGGCAGTTCTGTCTGCCCCAAGCAGGATGCTTGAATGTGTGTTGCTGGGAAAGTTAACGCTCTGCAGGCTTTGCTCTTGTGTGGAACTTCAGCAGGAAATGAGTTACAGCCAGAACTGTGCTCAGCAGCTTATTCACAGACACAACCACAGAACTGTTCAGGTTGGAAGGACCTCTGCAGATCATCCAGTCCATCCCACTGCCAAGCCAGGGTCACCTAGAGCAGGATACACCGGAATGTGTGCAGGTGGGTTTGGAATGTCCCCTGAGAGGCAGACTCCATGCCTTCCCTGGGCAGCCTGTTCCAGAGCTCTGCCACCATGAAGAAATTTTTCCTCATGTTGAGGTGAAACTTCTTGTGTTTTAGTTTATGGCCATTGCTCCTTATCCTGTCGCTGGGCACCACCGAAAAGAGCTTGGTAACCATCCTCTTGGCGCCCGCCTTTGAGACATTTATATGCATAAATGACATCCCTTCTCAGTCCTCTCCTCTCTAGAATAAACCATAAAAGTGATGAAAACCTACTAAATATTCCAAAAATAACCCGACCGTGACAACTAACACTACTGATGCCCCCTAAGGACACGGCAGACCTATTTCTCCCTGAAGCGGGGCATTTTGAGCGGTCTCTAGAAAGCGACCACACAGATCGCTGATCCCCGGACGGGAATCATCACCCAGTGGGTTTCCCGGGAAGGCGGCCCCGCCGCGCCCGGCTCGGGGGCACCCGTTTCCTGCTGGACCCGTGTCCCGCGGACAACTGCCCATCCCTGCGGAGCGCTGCCCTTCCCTGCAGACCCCTGCCCTTCCCTGCGGACCGCCGCCATTCCCGGCGGACCGCTGCCCTTCCCTGCGGACCGCTGCCCTTCCCGGCGGCTGCGCGCAGCTCCCCGGCACGGCGGGAAGTCCCGCCCCGCGGTGGCGCCGGGAGCGGGCGGAGCCGCGGGAGCCGCGACATGGCGGCGGCCGGGTGCGGCGGGAGCCGGGCGGACAACGGGTACGGCGGGCAGCAGGCGCGGCGCAGGAAGGGCCCCGGCGCGCTGGCCACGGGCTACCTCGTTATCTACAACGTGGTGATGACGGCGGGGTAAGGACCGTGCGGGGCCGCCCTCGCGGGGTGTCCCCGGCCGGGGCCGCCGCTCGGGGCGCGGGGCTGAGCTCGGCCGGGCTGCGGCCGCGTGTGGGGCCGGCAGGGCAAGGCAGGTCCCCCGCGCCGCGGGGAGCGGGTCCAGGCAGGGGAACGGGGCCTCTCCAGCCGCCGTGCCCGCTCTCCTGCCCGTGCCGCCCTCCCGGAGCCCGTGCGGCGGCACCGCCCGGGTGCGGACGCGTGTCTGTGCCCCGTGTGCTCCGTGCTGTCGGTGGTCCTGCCTCGCACTTTGGGTGACGCTGAAAACTAGAGCCGAACCCTCTCTCGCTGCTCCTGGTGCTAGAGGGGGGCTCCCGGAGGCACAGCTGCCGTCCCTCCCTGAGGCACACGCACAGCTGCCGTCCCGCTGTCCCGTGTCTCCCCGTCCCACACGCACAATAATCCCGGCTGGCTGCCCGGGTGTCCCCCGGGCCTGCCCCTGGAGCGGCCCCTGCCCAGCCTGTGCGAGGCCTCGGCAGCTCCTGGCCAGGTGTGACCCCGCTCAGCGCTGTCCGACCCCCTCCGCAGCTCGTCCTCTTTCTTATGCCCCTTCCTAAACCAGGTATGTGGAACAGCACAAGTGCATGTTCTTTGGGAACTGCCCTGTTTTATAATTGACACCCTAATTTGCTCTGTAATAATGTTCTCATCCAGGCGACCATAGATTGCTGTTCCCACATCACCACGTTTGTGGTGTGGACTCCAGCACTTTTGAGTTGAGAGATGAACCTAAACACAGGGAATTTATCCACAGCAGTAGTTAAGAAGGCAAACCTCTTGAGCCCTGTGAGATTTCCCCATGAACCCTTCAGCTGCTCCATAATTTGAGTTTGAAATCTGCTGCTTGCGACATGTGAGCTCCTTGGCCAGCTTGGTGCTCTGCCCTCCCCTGCCTGGCACAGTGGAGGCTGGGGCTGGTTGGTGCTTGTACAGGTGTGTTCTTGGGCACAAAAATAAAAATAGTGACAACTGGGGACTCTCGAGCTAAAGGAGACTACTCCTTTTTTTTTTTTTTTAAGTGGCAATGGTGTCTTATTGGAATCCAGATAAAAATAAAGCCATCTTTTGAAAGATTAAGGATATTTGGGTGGGAGGAGAAAGGAGCCTTTAAAATGGATCCCAAATGAGCCTGTTTTCTGCTAGATAAATCCTAGCAAATGAGAAGTTAAGCAAACACACTAGTCTCACTGTTTTGGGGGAAGGTTAGCATAGAATTAATATAGATACAACTTACTGTAATAAGGCAATTGGACCTGATGATTCTTGTCTTTGCTGGTGACAGCTAGTGCTGTTTCAGCTTACAAGGTAGGTACACTTGTGTGGAGCAAAGGTAGCTGAGCTGGAAGATCTCAGTTCTTGTGAGGTGTTTGTTACACCCCTTACCCAATATCCGTGGTTCTGTGAAGTGCTATTGCTAAGCAGGTTTGTGGCTTCATATGATATTTACAGGGGCATAATAATTACCCACCAGCTTGATTTAAGTAAATCCCTTCTTTCAGAAATACTTAATTACATGAGTAGTACAACACAGTACAGGCGTTCAGTCAGTCTTTTCAGTTTTGTTGTGGTGACCCTGCACAATGTTAACGAGTTCACCTCTCTGAACTCTTCTTAGAAGTAAAAGCATTTGCCTGCTGATTTTGCTGCTCATGTACGTTTCAGTTACATTTATAAAAGATCTCAAAAATCCGAGAGAGAAGCTGAGGTATAAATAGAAAGTTTCTTTAGAGGTCATGAACTTTTTATCATGGCAGGCAAGCTCCTGAGCGTGGGAAATTTCTCTTAGAAGAAAAAATTCAAACAAATTCAACTGTTAGAAACTCAGAAATAAATAGCACAAATCTGTGCTTAGCTTCCTGTTGTCATGTAAATTCCTGATTTATACCAAACCTCCTAGAAAATGTCAGTCTTGGGTGGGATGTGGCTTATGGTGCTTAAACATGAGCTGCTTTTTTCTGGGCATGTTTGTGATTAGATGATTTCTGCAATTTGGGGAGCTACTGTAGGAGTTTGTATCTCTGCACTGTCTCTCACTGCCCTTCTTTTGGGGTCGGTCACTGGGAGCTCTTGACTGATAATTTGTCTTACAATGGATGAGGATTTTGTGCTTCCCCTGGACACTGCTGAAATTCCACAGTATACAACGCTGAACTTAGAAAAAAACTCAGTTAGTTTCTTCTTATTATGAAGTCTTCTAAAAAGATAGTTTATTAGGAATTGGTTGACAGAAGTTCAGTTGTTCAGATGAAAAGATTGATATACAGCTGGTGGCATATAGTAGTTACTGACCCTGTGTCAATCAGTGCTCAGACTTAGTTTCTTAAACTGCACTGCCTTGGAAGGAGAATTGTGAAAACAAAACACCAGAAAATTGAAGGTGCCCAGATGATGAAGTGATGCTATAAAAGCACCTGGGATTTTCATAAGTGGTTTGTTTTGTTTTACAAGAGGTGGTTTATAAACTGAAGCACACAACAACATTGTTGTGCAGTAAATAGGTACTAAAGGAAATGTTTTAAAACCATAGTTGCCTTAGTTATTAGCTTTATTTAAAATGGATCAAATAACAATTAAAAAATCTCGGCATAGTTAATGTATTTACTTTGCATTTATCTTGACTGAGCTTAGGAAAACACAACTGATTCCAAAAATAATAGATCTTATTTCTAATTTTATACTGTAGTGCATGTAGGATATGGTTTCCTAATAATACAATGGCTTTTACAGGAGCAAAACAGTAGAAAAAGTATGGATACCTGTGGATCCCTCAGTGGAGCTGCATATACTTACCACCTGGTTCACATGTTTTGGGTGTTTTCTTTCAGAAAAGGGACCAACATGGCACAACAGGGAATAACCAGTCTGGCAGGTGGTTCTCAGGTTTTTTTGCCCAAGGTTCAAACCATTAAGCTGCAGAAAGCCCTTCATTGCTTCTCTTGCATTCAGACTGTGTGCCCACCCCAGTGTGGAGCCGTGTAGTCATACCTGACCTGGCATAGGAAGCTCGTTCTGGAGGCACAGGTGCAGCATAGAAATTGTTTTCTAAAAACTGTGGTTGACTGAAATCACTGAATAGTGCTGGGCAGGGAGGGAGGGCATGCTGTTAGAGTTGAGTGTAAAAGTTTGATAAGCTGCTTTAAAAGGTGATTATGTTTCTTATATTTAGTCAAGTGCCATAACTAACTGGTACTTCTGTGTGTAAGTAGCTGATGGTGGTATAAACAAGGAATTTTGGAAGGATTTCAGTCAACAAGATAGACAATAATGTAATAGCTTTTGGGTTTGTGTTAGTCAGTGGTGAACAAATAGAGTTCAGGGTTATGAGTTTCGTTGTCCACGTCTTCAGTGAGTGGCTGTTGAAGAGTCAAAGTGCACTTCTCCCTTTGCAGGTACACTCACTGCATAGCTTTGCTGTATTCTCTTGCATAAATGATGCAGAACCTCAGTAAACTTTGCATAAGAAAATGCCTTTTTATAACTGTGAGAGAAATAAAGGGAGTTGCACTAAGGACTTAAGTGTGAAGCTTGTCTGTCAAGTCCGAGCAACTGAAAGTAAGAAATTTGTGTGTATGCAGTATCCATTTTTCTTAATTTGGATTAGTTAAAGAGTCTAATAATCTGGTCTGAAGTTTACAGGCATGGCAGCAGTAATTTAATGAAATGTAACTCCAGCGGTAATTTAATAAAATATGACTCCACCTGGTGTATCAGGTAGGCTTCAGAGTCTAGGTCAGAGAAGGCTGAAAAAACTACTTTACAGCTTAGCTTCCATGACACAGTGGTGCCTTTGCTCCCCTTTTAAACTCCTTGCCCAGTTTAATTTTCACCTGATACTCCTTGCTTTCTCCTTCTGTTCCATTTTCTCCAGTCACAGAGGGTGAAGAACTATTTAAGAATCACAGAAGCAGGACAAAGGTGCTAAAAGCTTCAGCACAAACTAGGCTCAGCTTTTAATTTTGTACAAATTAATACTTCGGTCTGTACTGAATGCTTTTTGAAGGACAGTGAAAAAGTAGAGTCTTTCTGGAGTCAGTGACCTGGCAGGAGGGTGGAGATGAGCAAAAGGCTGGAGCTGCTCTGGGAGCCATCGACTTCACCAGGTGCTCGCAGGCACAATCAAGAACTGTTGCCTTGTGCAACTGGAGAAATTGCTCAATTCAGCCAAGTTTCTCAACAAACATGGAACATCAGGAAAAACAGAGAAACTTGACAGATAAGAACAGGACAGTGTCAACCTGCTCTGATTTCCTGTTCTAAAGAAGCAGCAGTCAGTGTTGCAGGGGAGAATCACTAATACTATTAGTGCTTACTGGTTTATTCTACGCTCAGGTCCGAATACAAAATTAATCTGATTCATTCTTTGTAAGCAGCAGTTACTCAGCAAATGTTTGCCCTTTGGTTTCACAAGACAGCTTTAAGAGAAATAACTTGTCACTCTGAAAAAGGGAGGGTTTATTTCTCTTTTCCACTTGTCTTCCCCACTCCTGCTTTTCTTTGGTGCTCGTCTTCAAGAAGTTGAGGCAGAAATGAATTAGCTTTCTTTCAGTTCTGCTAACAGATGTTGCTACCAACACAAACTTGGATGCCAGAGTTACTTATTATTGAAAAATCTGAACTTCACTGTGTGTTTCAAACAATTACTACATCTGGGATAATATTTGTATATATTTCGCAATACCAAAGCTAATGGGGTACTGGTAAGACTCTAATATGCTGTAAATGAAGGGGGTGGCTTCATCTTCCCTGTTACAAAACCAAAGCTGCAGGCTTTTTTTCTGGAGGGTAAAAACTATTACATAGTTAGGGGGCTTGCTGCGTGTCTACACACACTTCCACTGAGGTAGACTGTTCTTAGCAGAGACACTTAGTGACTTACCATGAGGGGTGTGGAGGGAGGTGGAGTAGGTGGTGGCATTAAAAGTAGCTGAGAGTAAGACAGTCAGGATCAGCCTGTGAAAACCTGGGAAGCTGCTGTTAAGGATTTCCCAGTTTTTCTTGACCAGCCACTTCTCTCCGTGTTTGCCATGAGCAATTGGAAACTAAAGTTAACTATAGATGCTAATTTCAAATGAAAAAGTGTGTGACCAGACTTGACCACTCACTTCAGTTTTGTGGCTTGCCATAGACTTCACTAAAGAATTTCTGAGGTTATGGGCAAACCCTGACTCTTCTGTGTGTGGTAATGAAAGGTGTTACACCATTGGCCAGGACAAAAAATTTTTAGGGGAAAATGAGCAGGGTTAGCAGGTCATATTGTTCAAGGTACAGTGGCAGTTATACACACAGTACTTACGCAGGTCTAGATGTATTTGTGGTTAAAAAGGAAAGCTGGGACAGGAATGACTGTGCTACCTTCAAGGCTGTAGCAGGTTCAATTTCCTTGTAGTTATTTATCTATAACTATTTCTCATATAATATATGGTACCAATTAAGCTGGATGACCTATCATAAAGTCTAGGGGTCTACTTTGAAATGAAACATTAAAATGAACACCTTCTAAATCTTGTTTATGCCATGCTGCTTTAAATTATGGTGTGATAAGAGATTTTTGACCAGCTGTCAATGGTTTTCTGCTTAAACTAAACAGAATGTGATGCTAATCTGTCACAAATGTATTCCATAACTAAAGTAAATAGAGCTCACTGAAAAATAAACCAAGACATTAAAGGTATTGGTTATCATGTTGGTGCTGAAAGATGCTTAAAAATGCATGATCTCTAACTTTGATAAATTTGCAGAATATCCAAGTATTTAATGTTTTCAGTGTTGGAGAGGGTAGGCAAAAGTTAGTATGCTTCAGGACAGTTATGCCTGTTGCTTTCTCAGATACTGAAAGAGGAATTAAGGATTTTTTTGTATTTATGCTCTGCTTAATGTCTCTTTGTCTTAGACATTTTTTCTCTCTTACAGATGGCTTGTTATTGCAGTTGGTCTCGTTCGGGCATACCTGGCTAAAGGCAGCTACCACAGCCTTTACTATTCAATAGAAAAGCCCCTGAAATTCTTCCAAACTGGAGCGTTGCTTGAGGTAGGTGTAGTGCTCTTCTCTGGTGTTACTAATGTTTGCATGAATGTGTTGTTCAGTAGAAATAGGGCAGCCTGTGTTGGACAGTGCCTTCTTGGTATCTGTTTTTTTATTAGCCTTTATAGAGTGATTTGAAAGTAAACATAAGAAATACACCTCAGACAAATACTGAATTTTTCCTTTTAGCGAGTGGTGAGGGAACTTGCTGTCTGCTATTTAGCATGGGCAGCAGAGCTAAATATTAAGCTTAATCTTTGAAAAGCAAATATTGAATTTTAAACTCTTGTAATAGAACTAAATGTGTGTTTAAATTGCTTAATTTGAAATATTAGTGATTTGAATTTTTCTTTTTGTTCTAGATTCTGCACTGTGCACTTGGTAAGTGCTTGCAAGTTTTCAGTTTATTATTGTTATAGAAGACTGCAATTTTAGCAATGTATTAGCACGAAAAATGTCATGGTCTGTGAATTGACAGATTTAATTCTTGCTTAACTCACTAGTTTTTCCTAGTGAGAAAACAGTGCTTGAGCTCCTGTCTGGATATTCACTAGCCACTATTTAAAGAGTAAGATAGCATTAAGGTTCCTATAGCTGCAACTACTAACTTGCTGTTTTTCATGTTTTTCATATATATTATACAAACAGTCCACATACTGAAGGGTCTGTTAGATTGTGGGTTCATATTGAATTCCTGTGGGGTTTTTTTAATAACCAAGTGAGGTAGTTGGGAGAACTTAAACTTGTATACAGGAATGTGTCAGCAGAGGGCAGTCTGGTTCTGTAGCTGATGAAGTAGTTCTGAACCGCCTGAATAATCGGTTGCTCTGAAAACGCTGTCTTAAAGGGCAGTTTGTAGGCTGTGCACAGATCATCCCAAGAAATGAATGATCATATATACCCCTCAAATTAATGGAGAGGCTTCTCAGAGTAAGCTATACATATCATCTTCTTGCCTGTGCTGCCAAGGCAGTCCTTACAATGCTGTTTAATTTTACTAAATCTCAGTTACTGGTTTTTACAAGAATAAACCGTGCTTTTAAAAAAAAATTCAGAAATTAATATTAAAATGTACCAGTTTTGAAGTCTTGAAGTGGCAAGAAGGACAAGTTAAGTCTTGGAACACTGGGAAAAAAGCCTTGCAGATAAAATGCTGGTTTTACTGTTCTAAATCAGTAATGCTCTACTATTTTCTTAAGCTAAACTTGTGTGCAGACATCAATGTTTACCAGTACTAAATCTAAGAGTGTAAAAAATTTAATTAGATTATCTTTTCCTCATACTTGTGTCCATACAAATCAATGAATAGCAGAAGAAAGTCCTGTGTTTCACCTTCCAGGCTGATGCAGAACAGCAAGCAAGATGATTATACCAGCCAGTCTGTGAACAAAACTAATAATTCTGGCTCAGTTGATTTGAGATGTGGATCCATTTAGCCCATGTTATGCTCAGTAGCACAATTTAATATTAGTGAAGAGAGCCATTAGGGGAAGGTTGCAACATTTTATACCATTATTAGTCTATCTATTTGCTTTCCCTAACGAATTTTTTTTACAAAATACTTATTTTCTTATAACTGGCCATGGATTTTTTTTTTCTGTTAATGGAAACATTTGTCAGCTAAATAAAGAGAGAGGCTTTTGCACAGCTGGATGCACTGCTGATGTTTGCTGTAGTCCTACTGACTCTGGCAAAAGTTTCTATGCAAGGAGAAACAGGCAATTTGCAGATTCCTTTGCCCCAGCTAAACTAATTGCTCTAACTAGAGCTGTAATTCTCTGTCAGTGGAGGAGCTTATCTGTGACAGATGGCTGTGTGTATCAGCATAACTTTTCTCTCCACATCTTTTCAGCAGAATCTGAAATGTTAGCATCTGTGAGGCAAGTCCTTCAAAATATGAAGATTGATAGGGGAATATCTGTCTAGCATGGTTGAGAACAGAACTTTGACATGTGCCAAAGATTTAAAAAAATTAAGGAGAGCTCACATGGAAAGGAGGGAACACATAGCCCAGAGACCAAGAGGAGGGGCCCATCATCATGGCTGGGCTTCGTGAACGAAGATCCGGGAAGGGCTCTACCCACATTTGTTATAGGTGCACTGGTGGCTAAAAAGGCCAATACGAGATAGACACCTCTGATTGCAAAAGGCACAGCAGAAAGACTCCTTAGGTGGTATATTCTGCAAGGCACGATTCTTTCTGCGTTGTCTTTTCCCCTCAAGGGTGATCCTGTGTGAGTTCTCAAAAGCATCAGCAGCGTTATAGATGGTGTGTCTCCAGACCTCCCAGCTGGAGGCCAGAGTAGACCAGTTATGTTGATCAATATGGCCGAGGCTGAGATGATGTTTCAGGGAGTCCTTGTATCTTCTCTTCGAGGCTCCTCTCATGCAGCAGCTGATGGCAAGTTCACCATAAAGCAAGATCTCAGGGAGGCAGTGGTCCTTCATCCTGGAGACATACCCTGCCCAGTGCAGCTGTGTTCTCATCAGCATGGCCTCAATACTTGTGACTGCTGCTTGTTCGAGAACAGATGTATTGGTCACATAATCTGGCCAGTGGATGTTTAGGATTGTGTGGAGACAGCGTTGATGGAAGCGTTCTAGGAGACGCAGGTGGTGGTGGTAGACGACCCATGATTCGGATCCGTATAAGAGAGTAGACAGCACTATGGCTCTGTAAACACTGATCTTGGTACTTTTCTTCAGGTGTTTGTTTTGCCAAACTCTTTTATGAAGCTTTCCGAAGGCACTGTATGCCTTTGCTAACCTGTTGTCTATCTCCCCATCAATCTCACCATCTGAGGAGATGAGGCTGCCAAGGTAATTAAACTGCTGGACTGATTTGAGCTCTGATTGGCCAATGGTGATGTGGGGATGAAGGAAGACTTTTTGAGGTGCAGGTTGATAGAGAACTTCTGTCTTCTTTAATCTGACTTCCAGCCCAAAGAGCTCAGCAGCATCTGCAAAGCAGGATGTTAAACACTGCAGAGCTGCTTCTGTGTGGGCAACAAGGGCGGCATCATCAGCGTAAAGCAGCTCACGGACAAGATGGTTTAAGGTCTTGGTGTGGGCCTTCAGTCACCTTAGGTTGAAAAGGCTCCCATCAGTACGGTATCAAATGTAGATACTGCCCTGATCATCGAGGTCTGCTGTGGCCCTTTGGAGCATCGTGCTGAAAAAGATTGTGAATAGGTTTGGTGGGAGAACGCAGCCTTGTTTCACACCATTAGTTATTAGAAAGGGTTCATCTGCCAAGGGCTAGCGAGCTTGGATGCTGACAGCGAGGTCCTTAGGACGTAGGTTTAATTAGAGTGTCCTCTTAGATGGATGGCCTTACAGGGCTAAGTGGGCTCCATCTGCCTGGGTTTGGAATTAGGATGACTGCTGGAAGGCTAGTGAGCTCATCCTGCCCATGGACACATTTTATCTCACCCTTTGGTTTTGACCTGTTTGGCATGAGAGACCCTGCTGGAGGCATATACTACCACCAGTATAGCTTGCAACCTCATAAGGGCACACAAGCTTCTCCCCCACTAAAATGATTAGGCCAAACCTTTCACTCCTTACTTTTCCTGAGCCACCTACACTCAAATCCAGGGATATTCCCAGGGACATTCGCCCACCCACGACTCTCCAAGCAGGACTGCCCCGCCTGCCCTCCTGCTGGTCTGGGTACCCCATTGCCCACCAGCCCCCCTCCCCCCCCCCCAAATTGGACTGGCAAACCTCTGTGTGCTCCGAAGTTCTTCCTCTCCTCTCCCCCCGGGGCCGCAACCCCCACCGCCCCCGCTGTGGCTGGGAGCCTCCTCGGCATGGCCAGAGCCCATGTAATTACTAGAAAAGGGCTATACAGAAAAGAATCAACTTAGCAATTCCGAAATTCTCTGGAAATACTTTTCTGAATCAAAGACATTATGCAGACACTGATATTTTCTGATCAAAACCGGACCAAATAAAGACTGTTCATTTTCTCTTGACCATTTTATGTTTGCCTTTAGAGAGAGCATTGCAGAAGATATGGGCCAGCATTGTTTCTGACTAGCAGTCCTTTATACTGTAAGACCTTTCTGAATATGTCAACACAAAGTACAAGATTCTAAAAACACGCATCTTTAAGGGTGTTCTCTCTTATCATACCTACACTGGTGCTTAATAACTATTAAGGAGAAACAACAGGAATGAGAATAATCATGCAGTTCAGCTGTTCTCGTCAGCCACACAGCTTGCTAGCAACAAGAGATTGTTTCCGCTGTGGAAGATCCTGTGGAGCAGCAATAGTCACCCGTGACTTCTGTCTTGTCAGGAGCTGCAGTAGGCAGTTGCTTATTCTTCGTCTTTGCTTTAGCCATGTTGTAATGACCAGAATCAAAGTATTTTTGCTTCGCATAGAGCTCGGAGGCTGCCACGGCGCAGGGCACAGGCAGGCGGCCCCTCTGCGGCAGCCCGGAGGCGGGAGGCAGAGGCAGGTGGGAGGAGGAGGAGGAGGAGGAGGAGGATGCTCAGGCGGTGGCCCGTGAATGGAAAGGGAACATGCAGTTTCTTGACTTGTGTAGCAGACAGACCCCAAGTGTGGGAATGGCACTGACAGAGAGATGGGAGAGCTGCTGACTGGAGGAAGCTGGTATGGAAAGAAGTGATAGGAGCCACCAAAACGTAGAAGAAATAGTGCTACAGGGAATTGTGAAGGGAATGGAGGAAAACAAAGCTTTGGTGAGTACAGGCCCATCCTGCAGAATCACTGCAGACCCAGCCTTTCTCCCATAGTATTGTTCACCAGTGACTCTCTGGTAAGCCAAAGTCAGCACTGGTTCGCTGGTTTTGCTTTAGCCTGCTCAATTTGAGAGACTGTGCACCTGTAAGCTGTGTACGCATCCTGTTCTCAACTGGGAACCCACTGGGCCAGAGGAAGCACTTGTTGGGAGCTGGAGGATTTCCTGCTGGAGATGGGAGGCTTAGTCCAGGATCTGGAAGAGGTCTGGGCAGGGCTTACTTGCTTCCTTGACTGACTTGAGCCCTCTGTCAAGCACTGTTCTAGCATGTGAAGTGTTGTACAAGTGATGACAGATATTTTTAAAAATAACAAGCTTCAGATTGACTGTCAGGTACCTGTTGAGTGCAGTGAGTAAATAATTAGAGGCAAATAAAGTTTACATGAATTGTAGCTGGTGAGTCAGTTACTTTGACCTCCTGTTTTTGGCATAGATTGGCATTGTCTTGGCTATAGTGAAAAACCTTGTTTGTCTAACTTAAGATAATCTTGGATGGTTCCTACACAGTCATTTTGGCTTATTTATAGATTCCTTTGCAGGAACATAGGCTGTCTTGTTTAGGAGGGGATGATCTCAATTGTCTAAAAGAAAAGGTGTGTTACTCTCATAGGAAAGAGCCTTTAACAAGTACAGTTTGTGATGTTTTATAGCACCCCTTTAGTGTTGTCTGAGAATGGACACCAATTCTGCCCTGAGGTTTTACAACATTTATTAGATTACAAACAATATGTGATAAAACTGGAGAGAACTATGTAGGATTTTCCTTTCTTTGTACTCTGAAAGAAACCTAACGTCAATTAAAATAATTCTGATGAAATTGCTTTTGGATTTTCTTATTCTTTCTTCCTCTTCCACTTTGCCACTTTGGTCTTGACATCTTCATCAGGCTTTTTTGTGTTGTTTGTTGTGATCTGCATTGGTTTTAGAAGCACTTTTTACTGTAACTTAGGAGCTGTACCTGCTCTTGCATTCATCTTCATCATGCTATTGGAAGCAAATAAAACTTTTTGATGCAAAGTTTAGAAATTTTGTGTAATTTGCAGTGTAAAACTATTCCTACTCTGTGAGACCTGGGTGTGTAGGATGCTTTTACTGGAAGTTTAATCTGCACCTCAGAACTTGCTTGGAAGAAGCAGTGATATCTGCTTCCTTGAGAAATCTTCAAGTTGTTTCTGTACCTACCAATGCATCAGCTATTTCTTGGGGTTTGTTTGTTGTGGGTTTGGGGTTTTTTTGAGTTGTATTTCCAGGAAGGAATTATAAACTTTGTATCTACCAGAATATGGGCTAGATTAGTGTTTTTGCAAAATACTTTTTTGCTTACTGGTTTTTGGGATATATTCTGCAAAACTTCTTTATTGTTTTTATTTTTTAAATCACAGTAATGAAGAGTATCTTCGATATTTTAATCAAAGATGTTTATTTGAAAGACTGTATCCCAGAAACTGTTTGATTGAAGTTATCTCATTTTCTTCCTGTATTAAGGAATGTGCTGTGATTGCAACAAGACCAATTACTTTTATTTGCATTTTGATGCAGAAAGTCTTGTCAGGAGATTGCATTGCATTAGGCTGTATAAACATACCATGGGACAGACTTAATACTTTCAAATAAAAAAAAAATTACATACTTTCCTGCCAAAAATTTCAAATAACTGGACTTTGGTTTAACTGTGTTTTATTTCCCCACCCCTACCTCTCACCCTGGTAGTCAGGACTATTTCCTAATTGCAAAATATCTTTCAGGCATTGTTCCCTCTTCTGTTGTTCTGACTGCTTTCCAAGTGATGTCAAGGGTTTTCCTGACGTGGGCAGTAACACACAGTGTGAAAGAGGTAAGTCAAGCTACCAAATGGATAGAAAAACTCTTGATCCATTCTGAAAAGCAAGTGTTGATCACTGTCTTATTTTCTTTAAAATGTCTTCTATTTGTATCCCAACATTTGAAATAGTTTATGTGAATTTCTGTGGATCAAAAGAAATAAAAATAGACCTGAAGTCATCTCTTCTTGACAGTCAAAGAGAGCGAGGTCTGATTCTCTCACTGTAAGACATCTAGCTCCTGAATAGATTTTCCAGTCCTTACTGGAAGTTAGAGGTTTCAGTGTGTAATACAGAGCCCAGAATTCGGGACAACATTTTAGTATTGATCTCATTAGTGCCATAACTAATAGCGACATCTCCTCTCTGCCCCCTTCCTGCATACACAATTCACTTTCTGTTCCAAGGCTTCTGAAGCTCCCCCTCAACTGTTTGTCCACAACAGTGCCTCGATGCTCTCCCTTATCACTCTCCAGGATAATCTTTCCTCTGTCCCTCATTCAATTTTCTTACATTCAAGTGTAGGTGGGTTTTGGGGCCTGTGTGTTTTTCCTCATTGCTCATCACACAGTAGTGCTGTACTTTATACAGATCTCTGTAGAAGCTTGTGGCAGATTACATGTTTTTTGAAAATTATTCCTGACAGCTATTTTAAAATCTAAACATGCTCTAATTGGTACAGGTTATGCTGACTGACTCTTTTATGCCATCTGAAACCTTGTAGTAGCCCAAATATATTGCATCTGTGCTGGAGTTTCTTCTTGTTAAAGAAAGAAATTATCCTCGATACCAGTGTCAGCATGGGTGCTTGAAATAAGTGACAGTCATCTCATGTCATTATATTTATAAGATCATTTGTGACTTGACATGGAAAATGTTCAAGGAGCTTCTCTCACTACCAAGTCTTCAGGGAAGCTGCTTTCTCTTCCTTACTCCAAACCTGTTACCAGAGCATCCATCCACATGTAGAGTAATGTAAGTCACTGTAGTTCTTATTAATTAACTGCCTTTTCTGATATTATGATGTTTGTTCACATGAAGTCTTAGTTTCATGCTATAAAGCAGAGGAATGTTATTTTTCTCAATAAACTTAAAATCTTATAAATATTTTTCTTCTGATGGATTTCCCTTTTGGTGCAAATTAATGTACTTCGGTCTCTGTCAATTCACTGACATAAATTCTAGATTTTGAACAAAAAAAAGCCATAATTCCAAAACATTAGATTTAAGATACATGTATAAAATACTTTTAAAGAAATATACTTGTAGTTTTTCTTGTTACCTGTATGATGTTGGGATATCTGGTGCTTCATAAAAAAAATTAAAATTTTTTTACGAATTGTCTCCTGGTTTTGAAGTAACCCAAATATTAAAGCTTAGATTGCATGGATTAGAAGCATTCCACATGTTGTCTGTCATCAAAGAAAAGCCTGTAATATGATTGTGGGTAAGGTTTTTTTGAAACTTATGCCCACATTCTCACCGGAGAAAACTGACAAAATGGGAGAAAACGGGAGCAATGAGTTTAGCCTGACATTTGACTTTTATCAAGGGTTCTTTCAACAATGTTAAATGCAGATTTTTTTCCGCACACTTGTGTCATCTTTTGGTTAAACTCTTGCAATAGACTATATTATGTGTTACTTTTTTTTAATGTTTTAGAAAGTGGGCATAAGAATGGTAAGGATGAGGAATCCTGTGATGAGTTTTTGACCTGTGACTTAGAGCAAATAAATAAGAGGTTGTATTCTGACCCCTTCCTCCAGCCAGGGAGCATGCAGTCTCACCTGGGGAGATGTATTGCAAGTGTCACAAGTGTTCTACTCTTTCTAAAGGGCTGTCTGCACAAGTGAGTTCCATGGTGAAGTCCAGGATTAAATTCTCACACAGCTTTATGGAACTTGTAAGCTATGCAGTTGCATGATGAGGTTCTTGTAAAATAAAACGCAGTTTTCCTCTTTAACTCTTTGAGTGAGACTTGTTCAGTATCTTGCTTTTCCAGACTGTTTTCATATATAATGTAGTTAAAAAAAGAAACGTGTATTGCATCCCTCCTCTCCGTCAGGATACACTTCTAGATATGTGATGTGATTTGAAGCATGCTTCTTGCCACTAACATGTTTGTGCTTTTTGTTGACTTCAGTGCTGATGTGTTGTTAAACTCAATATGGAATTATTTATAATAAATGTTAAAGCATGGCAAATGTTAAAGCACTGCACACTTCCTTGGGTAGCAATGAGATTCCCCTTAGCTCCACCATAATTCAACTTTAATTCCAGTCGCTGGTGTAGTGGAGGAGGGCTTGGCACATCACACAGTACTTGTTATCATTTTGTCATTATACCAGAAAGGAATCAGTTCAGTGAATTTTACTGTTTCCCCTACAAAGGAGGGAAGAGCATGAGCAGCCTGGCTTGAAGGACTAGGAGGATGTAGGCATAGGAGAACAGAAAGTGCCCTTCAGTTCAAAAGATGTCTTTGTGAATTTGTGTGAACAGTGAGATCATCTGGTGAAATCATGGCAGACCTTTGTAGAGTTCCATTCTGATGGATAATTCTGTACCCAGTTCTGATGGGTAATTAAAAAATGGTGTCAGCAGGGATTTATTGCTTATCCCATTGAGTTCAGTTACAGATAAGTTGCAGATAAAAATAGTGCGTGTTTAGAGGAACCTTCCTAGAACACACAGTCTATAGATGCTGTGGAGATGACAGCATATAGAGGTGGTAATTAAGACTTCAGTGTCTACAGTTGTGAATTGATATCTTCAATCTGCAAAGCATACTTACTTAAAGAGGGAAGAACATCTTAATTCATGGTATTTAAGATTAACTTCTACTAAAGGAAGTCCACGCTGGAAAATTCAGAACTCTTGCTGAGTGCAGTTGAGAAGCCTGATTCATCACTGCTTTATATCTATGTAAAATCTTTTTTTTTTCTTCTTTTTTTTAAATTTTTTATTTTTTAATTACTGCACCAGAGAACCAGCATTTTGGACGGAGATATGCTGTTTAAACAGTTTTCATGATTACAGTTGCATAGTGCTGCTGGTTTTACTCTTCTGGACTGGATTGCTCAATTATGTGTTTAGCTGAAATTTTCTACAAATTTGTCAAACTGTTACTCTTAACATGGAGAAATTTCCCTTTCCATGCATAAGGAAACATTAAAAACCTGTCAGGCTTTATTTTGTCAACTCCCAGTTCTCATCTTTGCATCTTAAAAGGCTGTGGTTTGTTTTATATTTCAACCAACATTTTCTGCTATTCACAGTATTGAAGATAAGCTAAAGTATATTCAGGACTCTGCTTGATGATACATTGGCTTGAAATACATGCCAAAAAATTATGCCTGTTGTATGATTGACCCCTATTAAGGCAGTTGGACAAATAAGATGTAAATCAAGTGTAAAATGTGTTTTGACTTGTGTCTAATGCTTCCTTGACAGACTGGCATGAAAAAAGTAGAGGAAGAAGAACTGAGTTCTGAGGGCAGCATTGGGCTCAGAGGTTTATTAAAGGTCTACTGTGTCTTTGCTGTACTATCCCCCTTATCTTCAACCTGGAAGAGGAATGATGCAGATGCAGCATTAGCAGTGCCTGAATTAATAAGACTGTTTTGTAAATCAGTTCCCAGGGGTTTGATAATGTGCATCTCAGACATCTTTATTTGAGCTACTGAAAAATTGTCAGTGCTCGAAGAGATGTTCTAATAGCAACAGACTTGTGACAGATATGAGTGTGTAAAAACCATACTTTTTAATGACAATCACCCATTTCCAGTATTCTTTCTTCCTTAAATAGAGACACAAGCTATAAAGCACAATCAGTAATGCTTTAAGTGACCTTAACAGGTCACTTAACAGGGTTGTGTGTGTGTTTTATAATGATATGAACTGTTTTAATAACTTAAAGTACGTGGGGAAGACTAGACCTGTGAAGGCAGTGTTACAGAAGTCCTGTGATAGACCTGGATTGTAACTGCCAGATTTTCTACTTCCACCTGTATCATTCACTGTTAGGTTCTTGTCCTTGCTCATGTCCTTTTATGCTACTTCAAGCTAAAAATTTTTGTTTCTTGGCTTTACTGATTCCCATAGCTAGGGAAAGAAAGCAGTGGGGTTTCTAAGTACAGGTTGAAGTCCATGACACACATTTAGATGAACTCACTAGGCTGCTACTCCCAGATTGACCAGAAGATGCAGCTGTGGAGTGCTTGTGAAGCACGTTGCTCCTTTGGAACAGCATCATCTATGAAGTGCTGTTAGCTTTTCCCTGTTAAGAACTAAGTCTTGCTTATAAAGCAGTCATCAAATAGGATTAGGATTCTGTAGCAATGTAAAAATAGATTTGGACTCCTGTCTGAAAATCTTCAGATAATTTTTGGATTTTGCTCTTTTATGATGATGCAAGGTAGATTAATATATAAATAAATTTTCAGAGTTTCATGTGTAAAATGAACAAGGTGCGTTTGCTGCAAAATGCAGTAGAAGTGACCTGAAGCATTATATGCAGCAGAACACAGAATAACAGCAGCCCTACATTCCAGGATAGCTCAAGATTTGTGTACAAATTTTCCTGGGTTTTGCAGTCTGTAACAAAGCTTTTTCTGGGTAATCCTCATGACTGTTTTCATACAAAAATATATGATCAGTCCCGTCCTATTATTTTTGTTCCTTTTTTTTTTTTTTTTTTTTTTTTGCTGGTACATGTGCTTTACTCAAGATAAATAGAGTGCACCACCCACACCTGCAGACTTCCTTTTCCCTTTTTTCAAGAGTTGGAGGAAAAGAGAAAATGTAGGCCCTGTTGTTGAGCTCTTTTTGTTCCCACGGTTGAGCTCTTTTTTTGGGGCTCAAGGCACTTGTACAGCTGGGAAATCTGTTGGAGGCTTGAGGGAGAGGGGAAAGACTGCACAAAAATCATGTCTGTTGTCTCAAGAATTTGTGGTGCCAGGCATGTGACCCCATATCCACTACTTAATCACTGTTACTCCGTCTGAAACTTAAACCTCATAATGATGATCCAAAATCTAATAAATATAACAATTCATTTTAAAACACATTGCTTCTGAAGATTAACCTTCAAAATATGGGGAGAATCAAAGCTGGTTCAGTGATGTGTAACTGACAAAAGCTCCAAGAGGTGTAAAGCAGTGAAACATGATGCAGTGCCTTGAGAGTAACATTAGAGGAACTATGCCAGATATAATAGGCAGAAAATGGAGCAAGGAAGAGTGAATCACGTAGTTGTCAAGCTTACCTGAGGTGAGACAGTTTGAGCTGCTGTTTCGTCTCTCCTGCCAGCCTTGATTCTGGTGTTAGCTCTTTTGGTGCTGCTTAAAAGTAAGGCCCAGTTTCTCACCTGTAGAGAGAGGAAAACAGGGTTTCTACTCAGAAGTAGCATGAACAGGAGCAGAATACAAAGGGTAAATCAGATATCAAGTGTAAGAGTAATCATCCTTTCTGCTTGCTGCACTCGGAAACAATCATAGGACTGAAATAGGAGCTGGTACTGTTCAGGAACGGGAAGAGTTCTGAATTATACTCAGTATTTTCAGGATTTCTTGTACCAATTTACCTTGCTCAGAATGTGAGATCTTAAGTTACCTGATCACGAAGCAGAGCTGTTCTTAAGCAACTAGAAAAATACAGAGCGTGATAAGAAGGTTTTTTTTACTGTTGTTACTAATTTTGCTTTTAAGCTCATTCTTGGAGTCTGTTCTCTAAAATGATGCAGTAAAGCAACCCACGGGAATTGATTTCTGTGAGGTTTTCTTGGGTCTGGTGAGTAACTGGTAATACTTGAATTGATACTGAGCTTCCTTTTCTTTCTCACAGGTACAAACTGAAGACAGTGTCCTCTTGTTTGTAGTGGCCTGGACAATCACTGAGATTATCCGCTACTCTTTTTACACGTTTAGCTTGTTAAACCATCTCCCTTATCTCATCAAATGGGCCAGGTTGGTAGCACAATGGAAATCACAGCCTTAAAGCACTGATTTGACAGAGTTATTTATCCTGTAAAATAGGTGCAGTACAAAAAATTAGATTTTGCCTTGAGGTAATTGCCATTTGTGAATGTGACTTTCCAGCTTCTTTCTAGCACATTTTGGAGTTAAAAAAGATCTATTTCATTGTAAGCTGAAAGAGTAGAAACTGATGTTTAACAGTAAGGGGTGACAGTAAGTAAACTGACATTTAACCGTAACTCTTGAATCCAAGGGTTATACTTGAAATAATCTTTAAGCTCATCGATTAACATCAGCTATATTTGCACCCTTTTCAGTAGAATAATGACCTCCACCAAAGAGTAGTATAATGACATTCCACCAAATGAAAGTAGTAAATTGGGGGGGGGGGGGGGGGGAGAATAGTTTTACAGATAGTATTTAGATTCTCAAAGGTAATCTTTATGTATTTCACACTATTTTCTGATTTGGACACTTAGCTTGAAATAACGTTCACACCTTGCCATGCTCTAATCAAATAAGAACTAAGGAAAATAAATACTGAGTTGAGAATTTAAAATTTGAATATCCATAATATCATTTAACAAATACTTTGTCAGAGTTTGTGTGTAACTTTTAATTCTTTCTGTAAATGTTTTATTCTAGGTACACTCTGTTTATAGTATTGTATCCAATGGGAGTCTCAGGCGAATTACTCACAATATATGCTGCATTACCCTTCGTCAGGCAGTCTGGCTTGTATTCCATTAGTTTACCTAACAAGTACAATTTCTCTTTTGACTACTATACGTTCTTGATCCTGGTTATGATTTCTTACATTCCAAGTAAGTATGAATTTGTTAGGTTTTTTAGTATTACTAGCTGTAATGGAAAAGCTAATAATTGTGGGATTAACATACATGTAACTGATTTAGGCTGTCGATGACCTTGTTTAATTTTTGTACGGTTCACAAAGGTTGAATGCCTCATGGAAATTTTAGCTTTTGCTGTTTATGTTCCATCCCCTACTTTGTTGTTCTGCAAACAGACTGTGTAACGTGATCTTAGAAACAAGAGGAGAAAAGGCTTTGCGTCAGGATAGAGAGAGAAAAGAGGCACCAGTTCATATAAAGTGACATATATTCTGAAAAAGCAACATTAGAATTGCAAGAAATGAAACAAATCTGGAAATTTCATTCTTTTGGAAGGGCTTTTTCCTCCCTGCAATCATTTTTCTTTCTGTTGTGTGCATGTCATCTGCTTGTACAGGCAGAGTTAAATATGGCATTTTGCATTTCATTAAAAATGTGATTGCTCTAGCAAAAAATAAATAATACCTGAAGCCTAAGAATCATACCACTTCTTTAAAGTGTAAAAGGCAATAGATAACTTGAGCAAAAAGTGGATAAGCATGTTCTCTTTTAATGGAGAACTGGTGACCTTGGCTGTGTGAATCTGCATCTCACATTGACTTGCAAACCTCGCTTCAAACTTTATTGACTTGAATCTGTTTTCTCTTCAGTCTTTCCTCAGCTGTATTTTCATATGCTACACCAGAGGCGAAAGGTACTCTCCCACACTGAAGAACATAGGAAGTCGGAGTAATTCCAACACTTTTTCAGAACTTTTCAAACATCAAAATGCTGCAGTTTTTCAATACCCAGCACATTTGTAAAGAATATGCCAAGATAAGTCAGAGGTAAAAGACCAATAATTTAGCAAGAATAACCAATAAATCTGATTCCAGTAAAATCCCAAGTGTAAAACATTGAAATATTTTCAGCTTACAGTGCTTCAGAAAACTTTTAAACTTTATATGGCTTGGCAGTTAACATTTTCCTTAAATGATGTGCTAAATGATTTTCATTTATTATTAAATGCCTGAAGGTTGCAGTATGAGTGATGAAGTTGTACCCACTAAATGCCTGAATTGGGATTATATTACCAATACCTCTTTTTTTTAAGTGCTTGACTGCATGCCAGAAACTGTATGTATTGCTGTGAAAGCAAACAATATGCTCTGGAATATTTCAGGATAATGTCAGAGACTTCAGTGGAGAATGTAATCTGGCCAAAGTGTTTGAATTTAGAAAGGTAGGTTGTGTATTTAAAAGGTGACAGGAACAAGAACAAGAAACCAATTATGGGAAATGAGGGGAATGTAGTTCTTTAGGAATTTAAACAGTACAGTGTCTGACCAGAGTGTGTTCTCTGAAGATCTTGTTTAAGCTGAGTACACAAATGCAAATGTTAATTCAGAGGCTGTAATGCTTATCTGAAACATTAAAACTCCTTTTAATTACTGCATCCCTGGATACTTTTTTACGTATTAAAAAAAATTAAAATTAATACTAACTGTAATATTTCTAGTGATACCGGTAATGAATCTAAACAAGATAAGGAGGCAAGTCACCAGAAATTTGTGCAGTTCTCCCTTTTTTACTTTAAATTATCATCTTTAATCACTGTCAGTGATACTCATCTTTCAGTGCGGAGGACTATTTGGTCTGCTCTGGAATTATCTGGGGGCCTTGTTTCTCAGCCTAACTTTTCTTAAGTGACTGGTGTGTATCACTGTGGCACATTCAAGCAGGCAGTTCCAGGCACTCAACTTCTGAAGTGTTGCAAAGTCATAAGCTGCTCTTTTGAAAACAGATTATCTCATGTGTTACATGCTGCTTTTGCAGACTGGACAAGCCTTTCGTCATCCGTTCTTTTGGAAGAGTGGAAGAACACAAAGTTATATTTTCCTCGGTGCTTCCTCTGGGTTCTCTGGCTTAGCTTTCCCTTGGGAAGGTAAAAGAGAGAACAAGAAAGCCTTGTAGTGAGGCAGAAAGCACTAATGCTGTGTGAGCAGTGCCCCAGGTTATTAAGAAACTTTTGATGGGGCCAAAAGGGTAGGGAATGGAAGGGGCAAAGGGAGCAGGGAAATGAACTCAAGCAAAGACAAAAGGAAGTGTAGGTTATGGCCTTTGCTCTGTTAGGAATTGATAGCCAAATAGTGTTGTGTGAACCCAGTCAAGGTCACTAGACACCACCACATGGACTTCTCTGGCTTCCCTCTTACAACATTATGATTTGGTGCATAAACGAGGTGTGACCTGTACCATGCTACCTGCAGTACTGGGCTCGTGCTGTGCCTGCCAGCACCTCCCCCTGGACGTGCTCAACACATCCCAGCTCTCCCTAAACAGAGCCAGTAAGTACTGAGGGCACAGGCTTTCTTTTCTAGCACTTGGGAAGATATGGATTTACAGTTATTTAGGTTTATGCTTGTCAGAGCTATATTTTTAAAAAAACTTTGCATTTTTCAGTAATTTTCTTTGGCTCCATCAAAAGGTCTGAATTTTCCTAATACTCAATATATAGCACATTTCCTTTTCAGACACAAACAGGGCTATTATAAGCAGAGAGAGGGTAAGAAACAATAATAATCTTTGCTTCTATTTTAAACACTTTGGAGCCTATTATTGACTATTCAAAAACACAAGAGGCTGTACCAAGGTGGGTGTTGGTCTTTTCTCCCAAGTTACAAGTGATAGGACAAGAGAAAAGTGCCTCATGTTGCACCAAGGAAGTTTTAGATTGGATATTAGGAAAAATTTCTTCATCAGAAGGGTTGTCAAGCACTGGAACAAGCTGTCCAGGGAAGTGGTGGGGTCACCATCCCTGGAGGTATTTAAAAGAAGTGTAGATGTGGTGCTTAAGGACATGGTTTAGTGGGACTTTGCAGTGTTAGGTTGGACTTGATGACCAACCTAAATTGTTTAGGTCTTTTCCAACCTAAACAATTCTGTGATTCTATTACTGTGGTCATATACAGCCTCAGACTGGTTTTGGATTCGAAGATGCAATAGTTCAGTTAATTCCTGCATTAGGTTATGTGCTTTGTTGTCATCTGAGAAATGTTACATTATACTGAACTCGTTTGGAAGTGTAAATTTCCACTTCCGACCAAAACATCTTTTGCTTATACTTGCTGTTAAAGAAAGTGATGTCAGTATTTCTGAAGGATGCCATCTAAAAGATCTGATTTCCTGATGTACTTAGGTTATTGGATATTGTCGATGCTCAGCTCCTGAACTTTCTTAATTTGATTTCTGGACCCAAATAAAAGATTTGGTTTCAAAGTTGTTGGTCCAATTTGGAGGAAAAAAAATGGCTGTGTAATACTCCAATATGAAATGAACTACTGGCTCTGCTGATGAGAAAGATATAGTCCAGATCTGTATACAGTACAATCAGATAGCACTGGCACCATGGAAAAGCAGAGCGTGCTGCCAGTAGGGAGGAATTTGTACAACCAACACCTTTACTGAATAAGCTTTATCACAGAATATTTACTTTAATTGAAAATATTAATTTACCGCACAAATGCAAATAAACTACAGACTTTTAAAAGAAAATGTTTTGCTAGTAAGAAATTTTATCAGCAAAGTTGATTTATAAATTATATTCTGAAGTATGAACATGCAGTTAGTATGTACAAAAATTCAGCACTTCATCTTGCAGTGCTTTTTCAAGTTTATCTTCCATGGAAATCACTGGAAAGTGATCTTGAGTGAGAACTGTAGTGTGATGCCCTAATCCTCTTTGGGTTGTTTCTGTTGACTTTGGTCACACATGTGGGGTTTTTCCTCATAAAATAAGAAATTTCCCCTCATCTGTCACTGAAGTTGTAATGGGCTTTGTGTGAACTCTATAATAGAAGCTTTGATTGGTACTGTTTGTCACAAATGTAGAGGGTTTTATTTTCCCCACAGACTATTTACTTAGCTTGCATGGTCTCTATCAGCATATCCAAACCAGCAGGCGTTCTCTGCTTTGGTGTCTCTGTTGTGTGCACTGGTTCAGTTGACAGCACTTTATGTTCTACCATACTGGCTTTGTCTGAGTTAGTCACTACCCTCTAAAAGACCAAGGCTCTTACCAGTGTATAGTTTACAACTGGAACTGTAGAAATGTTCATATTGTAAATTACAGTAAGATGCAGGTTACAGTGCAGATAAATTGTAATTTTTCACAATGTGATGTTTCTATTAAAGATGGGGTTTTTTGTTATCATAATGAAGGTTGACATTTGTGTGGACCAATCTGCAGTGTCATTTGAAAACCTTTTTCAGCATAAAATTTTCATGAGTATACATCAAATCATGCATTTTGATGTATATGTCAGTGAAATTTGGGTGAAAACTATATACAGTCATTTTTGTATTTTTTTCTATGTTGTGAAGAATAAAATTGTAATTTTATAAGTCTGATTCACTAAGATTATTATAAGTTAAATGTATTTTTTGTATATTTAGGAATCTGATATTACCTGGAGCTCTGAAAGATGAAGCATAGACTTTTTATGCATGGTTGAAAGATATTTCAACTTGATAATGCAGTGAAATGGTTCGTATGCTAAAATACTAGTCTTTGTTGTTGCCTTGTGAAATTGATTCTGTGCTCTCTGCCTGGACTTGGCCTACTGATCAGTGATACTAATTGCTATAATCCAAATAAAATCATTCTGAACAAAATACGTTGTACTGTTACTGTTTAAGGAACAAAAGCAGATATTTTATAAATGTGAATTAGGGCTGTATTTTTATTCATTTGTATATAATGTGTACCTTGCAACTGACAAGATTTTTTTAGCATATGTAACTCTGGAGCTCAGGCAAAAGAATTAGGAAACTTCATACTGTTATGAAAGCTCTGCCTTTCACTTTCAGAAGAGGTACTCATAACAACACATTAACTGTGTCAGCACTCAGACTTACAGCTTCTTGAAGGATCCTCAATAGAATGTGAGCTCTTTGTTCCCCTGTTGTCATTTGTAGTCTGGATGCTGATGGTTTTCTACAAAAACAAAATCGTTTGAGTATTATAAATATAGTGGAATGCTTAACTAATGCAATGGAATACTTCAGAGTTCATCTACTAAATATAATATGTCTGCTACCACGGCAACGTTCTTAGCATTTTTAACACTTCCTGAGAGAGATTTAAAAACTATGTGTAGATGGCATTAATGCTTATGAATAACGAGTTATAATCCTCTAATAGGAACTGAGTAGTAGTTGCAGAGTGAGTGCTATTATTCTGGGCATATGCTTGTCATAAGATTGCACAACTACAGTGATTTTTTTGTTGATTGCAGCTGGGATGAACTGATGTTGTCGTGCCCAGCATCAGCACATGTCCTACGCATGATGGCTGTGACTTAGCACTGCTGTGTAATTAAAAACTCCTCTTTGAAATGTTACTCCATGAGTGGTGGTGCCGAGATCTGTTTGTGCCTTAGAATAACTTCTGCTAGTTATTTGGGTTTCCTCTTTGCATTTTGAAAACAGTATGTGTGGAAACAGTTCTAGTTCCCTAAGGTAACATTAAAAAGTATGAACAGCATAAGGATTCTGTGTTTGCAAGCAATTTAATATCACAATTGTACGTAAGGCTCATCTTAAATAAAGCACTGGCAGTTCTTGACATTAAGACTTGAGGAAGAATCTGTGATGATGTGCTGAGTATAAAATAAAAAGATGTGAATATCTACATGATTCATTTGATATGAAATGAGCATTTCTACAGTTGGGATTGATTGATTCAAACCACCCAACTGCTTGGGACTTTGGCTCAATATCAAGTAGCTTTTAAATTCTGCTTCCCATCTCCTAAACAGATACTCTTCCACACTTGTCAGAAGACTTCTAAAAGTAGTAAGAGAATTAATAAAGCTTCTGAAGGCTACCTTTGAAACAGTTGGAATTTCAGATGTGGGTGGAAAATTTAAAACTCTTAATACTGTTGATCTCTGATCTCCAGAATAATACTTTACAGATGGGAAAGAGCCTAAAGCCCTTTTTATGTCTTCACAGATTAATTGGGCATTAATAGTGTGAGAGGTGTGTTTTTCTCTTTGATGTGCTGACATAGATAATGTGCTAATATTAGGGAAAGAGATGTTCCTGTCAGTATTATATCTTAATTTTTCTAGTGGTTTAAGTAGATGCATATTATTTCAATATTCCACTATAAAAACATAATTCACAATACATAGAAACACTTCCATGTCTAGTTATACTTGTACAAACTCAGTGTCATAGCAAACTGCCTCTCTGTAGATTAAATTTATTTCATATAGTTTATACATAAGAATTTGACATTGCCTGGTACTACATAAGGATGATATTATTGGGAAGTTCTTTAGTGGAAGTTTTTGCAGAGGCTTATTCAACTGAATTGTGAACACTGAATTGCATATTGTCCTGTCTTTTTGACTTCTGCTACAGACAGTCTGCACAGTCTTCAGTGAACTG